TTAACTAAGATCCTGGCTTTTCTACCCTGATTTAAATTGTCAAGAGAGACTGTTCTTTATTTTGTAAAAGGAAAGTCTGAACCCCCAAACATGCTAATCCATTCATCTTGCTTTCTCTATGCTTCAACTCATTGTCAGGGCATATGTACAAAAAGTAATATGCTAAAAATCAAACCTAAATCCTAAGGGATATCGTGACGTCACGGAAAAGTTGTATATTGTTTTAGTTAAAGCTATATCGTCAGTTAGGGAATTTTGAAGTAGCCCATCTGTTCATTCACCTTCAATATGTACCCACATTATTCTTGAGCCAAACACAGGAAATGTTCGATCACTGTACGTGATGAAAGCATCAGCTTAATAGTCAAAAATGAGAACATAGATTTTGTGTTATGGCATTCTATCCTACAGTTCACTTTTAATGTGAGCATCTGCTAAGAGTCTTGGATTTACACATTATTTAAACCATTACATCATAATACAGCCCACTTGCACATTGACATGCAGAGTATAAATCATACAGTCAATGGTATAAACACATCTGCACGGGCAGAGAAACATCTGGCCACTTTCAGTCCAATGTTAAGCGAGTTATCATGATGTCCTTTGGTTGTTTTTAAATTGGTGACAGCTTTGGTGCTCAGTGTTGTGACTGTTTCCTGCTGAGTATCATGTGTGCCAAGCAAAAATAAAAAAATCGTTCCTACACTGGGTATAAGGTGACTCACTAGTGCGTTACATCATGCGCTGGATGGAAACAAACCGGACATTAGTTTATAGGAAAACGCCACACACTTTAAAAGTCTCCAATGTTTTTCTTGCTCATTCATGAAATCATTGTTGGAGAATCTTACAGTCAAAATGTAACTTTTAATCAAAACCTTACATGCTGTCCCGATGAACTACATCCAACTAAAGCCAAGCCAGTCTGGTTAAGTCAGGAATTGAGGACAAATGAAAGGTTTTACATAGGGATGTCCCGATCACCTTTTTTTGCTCCCGATCCGATTCCGATCATTTGATTTTGACAATTTGCCGATACCGATTTTTCCCGATCCGATCTTTATGCAATGCATTAAGAGAAAAAAAAGAAAAAAAGCATTCAAGTTGTCCCTTAAGGTTATTTTTTTATTTAAATTGGATATTCTATCCAACATGGATATAGCTTCTTTCTTTCACAGCAGCATTGGATCAGTTCAGTTGTGCAGCATTGGATCAAAACAAAATAAAGCTTTCAGTACTCGTTAGCTTACTGATACAATTAGACACTGCGCCCACTCTGTTGCCAGATTTGAAGACATAACGCAACCAGGGTCTATGAAAACAAGCCCACAAAGAAGCAAACATTACATGATGTGTGTAATTTTGAACCAAAAAACTAAGCCTCAGGATGACTTTAAGACTTGAACATGGTCATATTTGTTTTGTAACATTGAATAAAAAAAATAAAAAAAAGTATTTAAAAAAAATAAAAAATAAATAAATCCCGATCCCCGATTTTTTTCTCCCGATTCCGATCTTTTGAAAATCACGTGATCGGCTCCGATCCCCGATCACGTGATCGGATCGGGACATCTCTAGTTTTACACATTACTTCTTATACTCAGGGTCATCTTTATTCTGCTGACAATCTGAAAGAAGAGCTGAAGTGTTAAGCTACCTACATCAGATGGATTTTGGGTTAAAAAGAAAACAAAGATATCGGTGTAGAAAGCCAAGTTTCATGAAGAGCTCCTGACCATCTCAACATTCCTATTGTGTTTTACTGTCTCGTTCTTTCTTTCTGTCAACTGTCATCTATGCTTATGTCAAATTCTCCCCATATTGACCTGTGCTTCATTTCTTAGTTGATTTAGGACTAATATTGAAGTAAACGTTGTGGAAGTCAAACGTTGATCCTGCTTGCAAGTCGAGAAGGAAAAAAGCAGAGAAACTTGAGGTGGGGGAGGGGAAGTTATAAAAAGAGCAAACGCACTCAGTTGACCTTCCCTGAATAAACAACTGAGAAAACAGGAAAATAATGAGTCCTTTGAAGGTAGACCAAATTTGGTTTTCCAGTAACATACTACCCGAGTCATTTTTATTATCGATTTCAATTTGGAAGTCAATTTTCAATGATCCATCTTGAATCACTTTTAAGTCAAAGTTCACCCTTTTTACTGTGTGATTACTTGTCTAGCAACACCCTTCATTCTCTTCAGTGATCTCCAAGGACATCATCACAATCGTCTTCCTCATTCTCCTCGTCATCATGATTATCCTCCCAATCACCACATTCTCTGAGACTCACATCAGCCGCCACATCATCACACTCATTATCCCTAATAGCCCGCTGTGTCCCGCTGTCCCATCAACATCCTTAAAACCATTATCATTTGTGAATAATTACCATGTGTACAGCAGATGTGCGTCTTTGTTTGGTGTGTGTGGTATACAGTATACGTGTGTATACATGTGTGTGCACAGTTAGCATGTCAGGCTAAAGAGGTTTTATTGAATTCTGCTTTCAACATGCTGCTCGTTAGCAAAAATTAAAAGCAGCTACTACCCAGAGTATGCTTTTATGATTCTTCCGTAATATTAGTTAATGAAAAACAAAAGCGAAGATTATGATGCCTTCAAAGCACAAGAGGGTTAAATGCAATTTATTAAGTTGTTGTTGTTGTTGTTTTTTAACATCTACTGAAATATATTCAACTGTAAACTCTTATTCTTGATTAATTTACTTACTTTTTATGTATTGTTCTGGTTTACTTAGCCTTATTTACAGATCTATTGATACGTATATCCACACTCATTCTGCCTATGATACTTCGTTTCTCTCATTATCATTCACACAATGTGTTTGGGCAGCTCTTGTCTGATGACGCACAGCACACACACACACACACACACACACACACACCCACACACACACACACACACACACACACACACACACACACACACCACACACAACTTACTTAGCCCTTATTTACAGATCTATTGATACGTATATCCATCACTCATTCTGCCTATGTATACTTTCTTTCTCTCATTATCATTCACACAATTGTGTTTTGGCAGCTCTTAGTTCTGATGACGCACACACACACACACACACACACACACACACACACACACACACACACACACACACACACACAGCTGAAAGTGGCTGAATACACTATTTCCCACAAAGGGAAAGGATTATATCCGCTATATTTCAACAATTGCGCACAGAAATGTGAATGTTGCCACGGCGACAGCTCTGTTTTCAAGAATATTTACAGCTGGAAATATTTGTCCCTGGTGCTCTCTTACTCTCTCTCTCTTTGGCAAGTAACCCAGCATGCATGCAAACACACACTCTTTTTCCCCTCCTCTTGAAAAAGTGAATCATTCATGGCAGAGGATTATGAACATGGCAAAAGCACAAGCAGCCTCTGCAGGATCAACGGTGGAGAAAACTGGACCGTAAAATCACCCTTAAAAACATTTCTTCAGTCAGACTACATGAACTGAGCTCCACCTCCTCACACACATCCATCATCAAGTTGTGCTGTTCTGCAAGCATTTACTTCTTCAACCACTTTTGAGTAAAAAAATCATTCCTACAAGATCATATTTCCCTCGGTATCATAATTGGGGACAGGGTTTTATAGCTAAGCGGTTTCACATTCTGAGCCAAAGTAGTGTTTAATTCAAGATGTCAGACTCTCACAATTAAGCTCCACGGGGCCACATTAGCTAAAGAGACCCAGCAATTATTCCACCGGGCCCACACAATGCTGCTTTTGTGACATGGAGCTCCTTGTGGTGATCAGGTCAAGATATACACACATACACACACACCCACACACATATACATACACACACAGACACACACACATAGAGTTGCAAATGCCAAACTGGATTCCAGCACACTGACGAAAGCAGTGATGCATATTAGACTTGTCTGAAGGCCAGCATGAAAACTAATGAAAATGACGCTATGACTTAATTGACATGAACTTCTTCTCAGACAAGCACTTTCCAACACACTCAGTAGCATGACATCAATCTTTACTACCTTAATTGTGCGGTGCTACCGATTGCCTTGTCTGTCAGCGTGCACGTTGTGAGGTTTTGTCTGTTTCCAATTGCAATGGAAAAGAGAAGTTCATTTTTGCTCTAATTGGGACCATGTTGAAGAATCCTGATTGATCCATTCATCATGGAGAAAATCTAGATTTAAGCTGTGCAAACAGACTGCAAAGCTCCGCAGGGACTCTGAGAAACACATCAGTCAAGATATAATTGAAAACATCATAGAGCACAGAGGCCGGCAGGTATCTTTCTCATGGGTTTTAAAAGGTCATCAAGATCATCTAAAAACAATGGCTTCCAACAATTTGAAAAGTTTGGGGGTTGCCATGTTTCAGTGTTATACTCCCAGTATAAACAGAGGCTTTGGACCTAGACCAATCCGACATTAAGCATCCCATGGGACCAACTGATCTTATCAAATGGGGGTTTAATGCATCCATACCCTCAAAATACAGACTTAAAACCCCTTAAGACTTTCCCATGGTCTGGAGTATGTTGCCACTTTACTTATTATGTCAGTTGAGAGTCGAAACGTCCAAATGTTATTGTTTCAATATCACACCATAGGGACTAAATGTGTGTCTACTTTCTGCTACTAAATAATGAGTAAATAGAGCACTTGGTTTGCCTTTCTCAATCAATCGTAAGCAAGAACAACCCTACTTAAACATTCCTCTAAATACATTGAAAAGTAACTGAACATTCATTGAGTTACGATCCTCCTGTAAAAGCACACCAGTCTTTCCGTAATGAAAGCATCTTTCTCAAAATATCATCCTGTGCAACACATTTAGTTTCCAGGAGCAGAGCGAAACAGTTTCACCATTCATTCATATTCGGCAGTCAAACTCCTGAGCCAGCAGAAAGTTCTCCAACAGCAGAAGAAGAAACACATGATCCAGCAATAAGAGACAAACGCAGAGAGCACATACCTTCCAACAGCTGAGCGGAGGAGCGATGGCTGCAGAACCGGAGCACTAGCAGAAATATTCCAAAGAACCAGGGAGGAATGCTGTAAAGAAAAACAAAAAAAAGAGTTAGGAAACTGACTTAAAACTACTTTTTGATTGGGAACAAAGTGCCTTTCATTTACCGTGAAGTCATCTTCAGTGACGGTAAGCTTAGATCCAAACTAAAGTTGTCCTGTTCATGTGTAAGAGAGAGAGATGGAGCTCACTCTGCCTGCCCCACTCACTCACTCCAAACTAAAAGCCTCACACTCTCCTCCTCCTCCTCCTCCTCTCTCTCTCTCTTTCTGGTTCACAGTCAAACAAAGGCAGCTTCAGTGATTCGGACTCAAGGGGCCCTCGCAAAACTGAAATCCGACTCCGCGTGTCTCTCTGTGGACCACCGCTTTTCTAATTCAGCCCTCCCCTTAGAAATCACAACTCCAAATACAAATTAACACACTCCGGTGAAGTCCTCCTTCTCATTGGTGTGGTTTCTCTCACTGTCGCGCTTTAAAAACACTTTTCTTGTGTGGCCTTGACGGGAGGAGGTGTTTCAGAGGCTGCAACATCAAGACCAAATCTTAGAGACATCATTGGATCAAAGCAAATATTCAAACAATTAAAAACAAAAGCTTATCACTGGCATTAGAGGAATGTGTTGTTATTCATCACAGCCCAAGCCACAAAAAACTGCTTGATGTCAATTCCAAATGTTACGTTGAATGCATTAAAGCATTTCTGGACAATGATACTGCTTTTAAAAACATTGCATTTTCAATTGGTTTCTTTTGGAGTAATCTTGAGGAATTCTATACCATGTCCTGAATTATTTCACTGGGAGGCCACAGTGAGGTTAATAAACTGTGTGTATATATATTAGGGATGTCCCGATCACCTTTTTTTGCTCCCGATCCGATTCCGATCATTTGATTTTCACGATTTGCCGGATTTTTCCCGATCCGATCTTTATGCAATGCATTAAGAGAAAAAAAAGCATTCAAGTTGTCCCTTAAGGTTATTTTTTTATTTAAATTGGATATTCTATCCAACATGGATATAGCTTCTTTTTTTCACAGCAGCATTGGATCAAAACAAAATAAAGCTTATCAGTACTCGTTAGCTTACTGCTACAATTAGACACTGCGCCCTGCCCACTCTTTTGCCAGATTTGAGAGAAATAAGCAACCAGGTCTATGAAAACAAGCCCCAAAGAAGCAACACATACATGATGTTGTGTAATTTGAAACCAAAACTAAGGCCTCAGGATGACTTTAAGACTTGAACATGGTCATTTTTGTTTTGTAATATTGAAGAAAAAAAAAAAAAGAAAAAAAAATCCGATCCTCGATTTTTTTGTCCCGATTCCGATCTTTTGAAAATCACGTGATCGGCTCCGATCCCCGATCACGTGATCGGATCGGGACATCTCTAATATTTATACATACGATACGATATATTATACGAGACAAATATCACCTGTTAAGAAACAGTTTGCCACAAATCCAGAACGTCTTTACTCTCAAAACGTGGGTGGTGATCAGTCCGATGCAACAAAAGAACAACATCATCAACACAGTATGTAATCCTGAGAATACCAAACGTCTGCACTTTTCAGCTGCTCTCTCAAAAAGAAACAGAATTGCCACACAAATACATTTCATGAATAAGAAAGTAGACCCCACAATGGTAATACGCTTTCCATGAACTAAGAGAATAGATTGAGCAGAAAATGTCCAGGTGTATTTAAGTCGAGGTGAGTAATCGTCTATCGTTTTCTCGGCTGGCGATGATACCATCAGTGATTAATCTGCCTCGATGTCTGGACTCAAGAGCAAGATGACATGTCTGCCAACAAACAAGGACAAACATCCAGGAGTCTAGCTGCAGGAGCCAGTGTGGTGAGGGGACGTCTGATAAAGATGTGTTCAGACCTTGTTTCTGACAGCTCAGACAGATAACAGCCATCACGGCGTGTTAGTGAGTGATGTCAGTGATGTCAGTGATAAGCCATCCTCACTTCACCTCACTGCACTGACCTTACTTCACTGACCAGTGCTGTTGTCAGGCAACACTCCTCGTAAATCTGTTGCAACTGTGCCAAATCTTTAGCTAATGAGCATTCTTCATAAAACGTCAATTCATCAACAACTTTCTACCAGAATTTCAAATGTAAGCTGGGATGTAAAGGAGAAACCTTGAGAGTCAGTATTGGTGACCGGGCCTCTTTTTGTGTACCCTAAACAAGGATTTCTTGGTATTGAAATACTGACCTCCATTACCCATAAGGGGTGAAAAACTCATTTCTCGGGAAGGATATTCATTACACAAAAAGTTGTCTTTCTTTTGGTGATTCAGAGTATACCACCTATAATATCATTTTGGTATTGGTATTACTATAGGGGCTGTTACACCAACACTAAGATGTGTTTACAACAATCAGTCACTATAAGCCTAATTTGAGGCCTTCATCACCAGGTGTTCTCATTGCTTCACAGGTGTCAGGCTTAGTCACAGTTTCTGAGTCACAGCAAGTGATGGAGTTCTGTTTTGATCAAAACAAGCAACTCACACATAAGAGTCTGTGTTTATCTTTCAGTCTTTTCATTTATACTTTAAAAGACAGCTGTTTGTTTGAGGTGCATCTCGTTGAATGCAAACAAATAGCACTTTGCTGTACTTTCATTTGCAGCACTGTCTTTGATGGTTGTTGGATTGTTTTTGCCATGTACGGTGACGAACTGACTTGTCAAACACTGACATCATTTTGCTACAATTTTTCTTTAGCTTGACCTTCATTGAGTATTTTTAGTGGCCCAAATCTAAATACACATGCAACATGGAACGAAAACTTCAGTTCCTTTTTTCGAAGTCCAGTTCTGTGACATCTCAAAAGGGCTCAAAGTGGATTTCCCAGTGCAATCTAGTTAGATATAACAACTGAAACGATGTGCTGAACAATGTTGGAAACGACAACATTTCTTCAATGGATGTTTGTTTTCTGAAAAACAATCTAAAAAGTATTGTTGGTTGCCTAGTATACTCTGACCGTTGCCCCCTTTACACCCACACTCAGACTACTTTAGCGATCTCACCTAAAGTCTGTATATTTGGTTGTAAACAAAGTGGAAAGCTCCCTCCTGTGAGGAGGGAAACAAGGAGACAAAGAGCAACAGTTTCTATGCAAAGAAAACAGTAACACAGAGGAGAGGGGGGGTGGGTGAGTGACTTCAGCCTGTGGGTGGCTGCAGATTAGAGAGGGGGGTCCAAGTCCGAGGTCTTTCTGCTATGAGTCAGAAAGATACCGGGCAGTCATCGCTCTTCAGCTGACTTTGTGAGAAAGCAGGCTGATCTGCCCCAGCTGACATCAAAACGCACCAATGAACAAAAAGAAAAACACATGTGTTGCCAGTGAAGGGCTCGGAGTCTGAAAGGAGGGATTTTCCATGTTGTTACGCTAAGCCAGTGGTTCTCAAACTTTTTCTGTCAGGCCCCCCCTTTGGAGAAAAAAAAAAGTCGGGCTCCCTCAACACAAATAGTCACGTAAAGGGCCAAGTTAACATTTATTAAAATACATCAATATGAACGTGAGCATTCTTTCTAGAACAGTGATAATAAAAACAAAGCTCCCCCGGGAAGATTCTTTTTTTAAATATTGAAGTTAAAAGCATCAATCTGGTGCACTTTGAGAGCAACATGAAGAGATCTATGGATACCTCTCTCAACACCCAGATGAAACAGAACTGGAAACAGATTTACTTTTTCTTTATGGATATTTTACAAATCACTCCCCTTTTAAACTTTTTTTTTTTTTTACCGTCATAGTATTTCATAACAGTTTTTCATTTATTCTCTTGTTTTTTTAATAACTATAATGATCATATAAACGTGTGCCTCGGAAATAATTGTTTACATTAATCGTGACCAAAACGTTTGAGACCCGGCAACTAGCTCGCTAGCACCAGAAGCTAACAACAACGATCTCCAGTACCGGTGCCCTCTCTCTCTCTCTGCTCGCGCACGCACACAAAATGGCTCGTGCCACACGCACACAGAGCCGAGCTTGAATGAAACACAGAGACCCAGACGTACTTGTACTTTATTGTAGCATCTTATTTTCGAATCAATCATTTTTCAAATTATTATTTTCTTTTTTCAAAACCATTTTTCCTCCTGGTCCCCCCTGTCATGCCTCTGCGCCCCCCACTTTGAGAAACACTGCTCTAAGCTGTTTGTGGTTTAATAGACTGCGGTGCTGCTGAAAGACACTCAGAAATGCAGTGGTCGACAAGAAGATACAATTCAAAGTATAAATAACAGAGTGTGAAATGAAACTTTAATGATATTTGATATCTCAATCCTGGATTAATAAGATATGATAAGGGTCCACCAAGAATCACATATCTTACACATTTCGTATGTAAACCTTTGCAATAAATCAGATTCTGAAAAGTCAGGTCTTTCAGAAAAAAAGAGCCAAGCAGTTCTGAGAAATGAAGAGTGAGGAAACTGTAATGGGGAACCAAACAGCCTCTCTGGATAAGAAGCGTTTTCTGCTGCTCATATTTCAAAATGCTCGTTATCAGAGGCCAGGATTCCTGGCAGAGACTCTGACTCTCAGGAAACTGTGATAAATGATGTGTGAGGAGAATACATGCTGAGCAATCAAGTGGTTGATATGTACATCAGTTCACAGCTAGTGCTTTGATAACTTAACATTATAATATCTAAATATAAGGATATGTGAAGTATACAGTTGTTTGTATTCTAAACATATGGTTGTGGTGGCATGTTTAACAGTGTTATGGAATCTTCTTCCATATTCTGACCAGCAAATGAGAATGCATTTGGATAAAAGAAAATATTCATTCCTCTGTGTTACCTTGACATTTCATTAATCATTTTTTTCAAGTGAGCAGAAGCTAGCTGCTTTTTGAGAAATAGCGTTGCTTCATTGTGTTTTTAGCCACGTATTAGTATTATTCTTGACTTTTCACGTTCGCTGCCTTCACACTGTGACTGACAAGGACTCCCCAGTCTTCAGGGTTTTTGAGTTGCAGCGGTCTGAAAGCCGGGGGCGTGTTGTGGGATCAAAGGTCACGCTTCATCTCAGAGAGGGATTGACGGTGAGGCTGCAGTATGTGCGGTCACACAGCAAACAACAAGTGCTTCTGGTGCTTTTTAAGCTGATATTCAAACACAATGTTAACAAAGGGGGCTACTGAAAACAAGAAGGGGTCCGCTATTCAGGGTCACAATGATTGGCAGGGACACGAGCTACAAGGTCGAGCTGCTTTTTAAAGTGAAAGATGAGCTTTAAATAACTTGATTTAGAGCCTGAATAGCCTACAGACGGAGGTACAAGAGAACAATATATTTGTTTATGATTGGGTTCAGAAAATAAGGATTAACAGACCACAAAG